CATGGCAAAATGTGTAGAATTGCAGGAAATTAGCTTTAAAACTAAAAAAAAAATGTCTCCACCCCATGGCAAAATGGGTACAGTTGCAGGAAATTAGCTGTAAAACTGCAAAGAATTTCTCACACAGTGTCGAGAACGAGCCGAGCACTCGCTCAAGTCCGGATCGTGGTTACAGGTTGGCTAATACCAGGCATGCCCTACACTTAGAGGATGATAGAGGCCTCTAGTGGACAAAAAGGGCGGTGTTCGCATGGGCAGCGCCATTGAGGGCTTCCACCATTTTAATGTACTCAACTGGGTGGGACTCCCAACTTCGTTGTCTGATCCCTCCTGGTGACCCTGTTGGAGTCATGTCCAACCGGGTCATCAGGAGGGATCAGCCAATCGTGAAGAAGAAAATGGACTATTTCTAAATGGAGATAGCCTCAATGGCGCTGCCCATGCTATCACAGACGCTATAATGGCACAGATACAAAGATGAGTCCTCTATCTACAGTATCTCTATGACACTACAGGACTTTAAAATCCTAACATCGCTGAGCCTCTCACCTTAAATGACCGTCGTTCCTGTAGTTTTTTGTCTTGTAATGGATTACAGTTTCATCAGGGAGCCACAAAGATGAAGTGAACAAATGTCATCGCTGAATTCACGTTGTTTGTTATTTCATGCAGCCACAGAATAGAAAGAAGCTAAACAAATTATTTTGTATTCGAATTTCGCATTGTTTAAAGTTGAGCAACCTGGTCTCTGAGCATTTCATATTATTCTTTACGTAAATCCGAGATGCTCCATTTAGTATGATAAGTTACGTTTGGTATGGTTACATAAGGTGGTCCTCTGTAGCTCAGCTGGTAGAGCACAGCGCTTGTAACGCCAAGGTAGTGGGTTCGATACCCGGGACCACCCATACACAAAAATGTATGCACGCATGACTGTAAGTCGCTTTGGATAAAAGCGTCTGCTAAATGGCATATTATAAGAATGATGGTTACTTAAGGCAAAAACAAAAGGAGGGTAGATGGGTGAGCTTATAACGCAACCGGTTGCGAGGTCGAATCTCATCACGGACAACTTTAGCATTTTAGCTAATTAGCAACTTTTCAACCACTCACTACTTTTTAGCTACTTTGCAACTACTTAGCATGTTAGCTAACCCTTCCCCTAACCTTAACCCTTTTAGCTAACCCTTCCCCTAACCTTAACCCTTTAACCTAACTCCTAAACCTAACCCTAACTTTCACCCTAACCCCTAGCCTAGCTAACGTTAGAGAGCTAGCTATTGTTAGCCACCTAGCTAGAATTGGTAAAATATCATACATTTAGCAAATTAGTAACATATTGTACGTTTTGCAAATTCGTAACATATAATACGAATTGTAATTCGTGACATATCATATGAAATGGGTGATGGAGATCCACAAATTAATACATACCATACGAAACGTATCATACTAAATGGAGGGTATCGGATTTACATACAGAATAATCCAAATTCCCTGAGACCAGGTTGAGTTGAGAGCTATCATTCAGCAAAGTAAGGGACTGTACAATGAGACTGGGTGTGTAAATATGCCTCCAGGATAATATGGTAAAGTTGGCCTCATGGATAAGTCCTCGAACAAATAAATAAGGCCAATGACTACTAGATCAACAGTTTTTAATGAAGCCAGCAACGCTGATACCAAATTAATGTTCTAGAAGAAGAAAAAAGTTTGCACGTTGGGAGAGAAAGAGAGAGCATTTCATCAACTTTTAGATTGCTTAGAACACCAGTAAAATGAAATATGCTAGCTAAATGTGAAACATTTATAATATAATCAGCAGTTCACATGATCACATCACAGTCACTGCAAAGGGCTCAGTTAATCTGATTTTGTTAATCTAAAAGCAAATAATTAATTTCAGTGATTGACAGTATACAGGTATTGTTGCATGTAGACTGAACCAATCTCAGTGAAATTAGATTAAATCTATTCATGATCAGTTTAATATACTTCCTTCAGTAGCCTAAGTGTGGTAGATTGGCTTGATAGCAGCATTCATTGACGTTGTTGGTTGGCTAGCAAGCAAAACTTGACATAGCACATCGTTCACTTTTGGGAAAACTGGTCCAGCCACTTGATAGCCAGCTATTGTTAGTTAATAAAGCAAAAATGATGTACTAATATGAAAGTTTAAACCCACCATAGTGATGTTGGTTAAGGAGATATGAACGAGGTCCCAGGCAGAGAGTTCTCGGTTGAACGTGCATCAGATAGTCCTTGCACTTTGAAACCCACACCCGCGTGACGTATAACACAGACCACCAAGAGTGTGTCCCCTGCTGGTAGACTTTCTCTTGACACAAGAAATGACTATGGTTGAGTTGTAAGCCGAAAGTAGCCGATCGTAGACAGAAGTCGATGAGTGTACATGTGCGCCGACAGCAAGCAGGACAACTTCTGCTGTTTCTAGGAAACGAAACAATGGCAGACACCTTTGTTATTGCTGATGAAGTGGATAGGATCAAACTTCCACGTACATTTTTAGTCATTTAGCAGACGCTCTTATACACAGCGACTTTCAGTTCGTGAGTGCATACATTTTTTTTTCTTCATACTGACCCCCCGTGGGAATCGCACCCACAACCCTGGCGTTGCAAGCGCCATGCTCTACCAACTGAGCTACACGGGACACTTCTCCTACACGAAGCTGAACATGATCAACATGGTCCAAGGAATTAATATCCTGATGATGAGGAAATTAGATACCAGCCCAAGCTCTTTCTAACATTCACAAGACTTGTTTTGTATTTTCTCAAAATATAACCAGGTAGTGAGTGCATAGACTACTCGAATGAGAACGTATACTACAGGTGTTTTTGCAGCATATAATTGTAACAGATGTGATTAAATGAAGTTACTGGGTAACAATATGCCAAGCAATATACCAAGCAGTCAAATGCACTTGCTATTGACCCCACGAATGGTGTCTGGGATACTTCCTTAATTAAGGGCTGGTTTCCCGTACACAGATAAAGCCTCTAAAATTGCCAGTCTATAAATCCCCTACAGTAACTCATGTGTAGCCTACAATATGTTACATTTGATTAACACTTAATAAACAATCAACACATTAGAATTTGTTTGGTGACAACAATATTACAGACAAGAGAAATTATAGGCTATACCATGGGACACAACATTACAGTAACATCTAGATAAATACATTAGCTTTTTTGTCGCAAGTAGGATATTTCATTTATTTATGTTAGAGATTTGGGTCACATGTAGGTCTATGTAATTAGATTGTAAGGATTTGAGCTCTCAATACTCATCCACCCAAAACAGTGAACATGCATTGTTAATAACCAATGATAGGTGGCGACATCAACCATTTATGAGCATGTGGTGCCTTTTTGCTTCCAAAGAAAACAGAAGAAGGTTGTCTCCCACAATGCTTTGGTTCTGACTTCAAGTTGCAGTTGGTGAGGAGCAACTGCAGAATGACCTTTAATCACGTGGTTTTTTGTAAAGGTCATGCAGTCAACGTGTAGTCGCAAGTACATACCCATAATGCAACACACTTTGAAAGGCGGTGACCAACGTTGGTCAACTTCTTGACAAAAGTGATCCGCAAAATTCTTTGGGGTGAATATGCGCCAGAATTCTGTGAGATCCGCAGAGTGTTTGAGTTGTGTTCATACTTCAGAGCCAAGTATGGCGAGGGGTACGTGGCGCAACACTGAAATGGAAGGGCCACAATAGACCCTTTAGTTTATCTTCTCTTTTGTTTAAATACAGCATTTAATAGTAGAGTATCTGAATGTAATTTGGGGACTATAGCTGGTTTAATGCTGGTTTAGCTGTTTTAATGTAGCCCCACATAAGGTCCGTGTGGCAGCCTGCATCCGGCCCACCTCAGGACCGGGGACCTAGGCAGGAATTCAGACGTACCTTTGTGCAGTATGTGGGCCAGACCTGGGCCACACCTTTTAATTGTACAACATTTTTTCACTATATGGCCCAGATCTGGACCATAACAGTATGAACATGTATGTACTCACTAACTGTAAGTCGCTCTGGATAAGAGCATCTGCTAAAAATGACTAAAATGTAAAAAAAAAAGAAAAAAAAAAAGCTTTTAGAATTAAGCATTTTTTACAATGTGTGGGCCAGAGCTGGGCCAGACTAATTTTGCTATCAATAATGTCATGATATTCTGGGTAAAGTAAGAAAGAAGGTGAAATATTTTCGGTAGATGTTCCTAAAGCTGATTGTAACTATATACAGACATGTTATAAAGTATGGACAAGCTCATTCATTCACATGTCATGAATTCACTATGACATCTTCATATTTGTATATGGTTTATTATACTTTTGTTATGTAGTAGATCACATGGGTTGGAAAATGTTTTTTTCTCAGACATAAATAAACTATTCCAAGTGAAAGCCAAAGATCATAGCTTTCTGGCGGGGATCATTTTTCACTAAGTAGTTTGGGAAAGGGAAAGGATGTAGTGAACTACTTTTTCAAAGTAACTTTAAGAAAAGTATAATTTACTTAACTAAAGGGTAGCTTTAGTGTAGCTTAACTTCTTCCAAGTGTGAAGTACTGTAATTGGTAGCTTGGTCAACTTTATTTTCAGAGTAGCTTCCCCAACACTGAGTAACACCCTGAAAAGGGACAATTCCGAGAACACTGACTGGTGAAACCAAAAAATCTGTTCACATTTTTTGATACGTAACACTTAAAAGAGCATGATAAGACATTCCTGGTCACTGTTACCTATAGCTTCTGACAGGGCTTGGAGTTTCTGGGTAGATTACAGTGGGGCTGATAGGGGTCCTATGGACTGATAGGATTACAGAGGGGCATCGTGGGGGGTTAGGGGTCATGTTTACCTGGGCGGGAGTCGGACCCAGAACAGTATTGTGAAGAGGGAGGGGGTGTGTGTGTGTGGGGGGGGGGGGGGGGGGGGGGGGGGAGTACGTGGAGCTGTATATATATCAGCCCTACTGGATCACGTCTCCTCACCTCATCCACAGCCAACGGCCCATCGGACCTCCACTATGATGAAGCAGTGTGCCTTGTTGTTGCTGGCGTGTGCGGTGTATGCTCATGCCGCCCCCCTGGAGCCCGGCATGAAGCCCGGGTCGTGCCAGGACGCCGTGGCCCTGGGAGCAGCAGGACAGGCCCTCGACAAGATCAACAAGGACCGCACAAAGGGCTACGTGTTCGGTCTGCACCGCCTCAGCAACGTCAACCAGATGGAGCATGTGAGTTCTGTTGCTCCTATTTTCTCACTGTAACTCTACCAGTGTGGTCCTGCGTTAAGTTAAAGGGGAGAAATTATTCAGCTACTGCCTTAAAGAAGAGTCCTGTAGCATGCTCTGTTTGTTTATGCAATTTGCTTCAATAGGTGGTCAGTTTTTATGTTTTTCACGCATTGTTTAAATGGTTTTCATGCAGTGGCAAAAGATAACAGGGGAATGAGTGTTGTTTTTCAGTATTAGCCCCAGGGGAATAAGTGTTGTTTTTCAGTATTAGCCCCAGGGGAATGAGTGTTGTTTTTCAGTATCAGCCCCAGGAGAATAAGTGTTGTTTTTCAGTATTAGCCCCAGGGGAATAAGTGTTGTTTTTCAGTATTAGCCCCAGGGGAATGAGTGTTGTTTTTCAGTATCAGCCCCAGGGGAATAAGTGTTGTTTTTCAGTACCAGCCCCAGAGGAATAAGTGTTGTTTTTCAGTACCAGCCCCAGGGGAATGAGTGTTGTTTTTCAGTATTAGCCCCAGGGGTATGAGTGTTGTTTTTCAGTATTAGCCCCAGGGGTATGAGTGTTGTTTTTCAGTACCAGCCCCAGGGGAATGAGTGTTGTTTTTCAGTATTAGCCCCAGGGGTATGAGTGTTGTTTTTCAGTACCAGCCCCAGGGGAATGAGTGTTGTTTTTCAGTATTAGCCCCAGGGGAATACGTGTTGTTTTTCAGTACCAGCCCCAGGGGAATGAGTGTTGTTTTTCAGTACCAGCCCCAGGGGAATGAGTGTTGTTTTTCAGTATTAGCCCCAGGGGAATACGTGTTGTTTTTCAGTACCAGCCCCAGGGGAATAAGTGTTGTTTTTCAGTACCAGCCCCAGGGGAATGAGTGTTGTTTTTCAGTACCAGCCCCAGGGGAATGAGTGTTGTTTTTCAGTATTAGCCCCAGGGGTGTTGACTCCGCTGTGCTGATTGCGTCTGTATTTCCATTGCTGTTTCAGGGTGAAACAGGGGTTGTGTTCTACCTGACTATGGATGTGCTTGAGACCAACTGCCACGTGCTCAGCAGGAAAAACGCAAAGGACTGTGAGGTCCCCAAGGCTGAAAACACACCGGTAAGAACCCAACACACACACACACACACACACACCAAACACACATACGCACAGACACACATAACTGGAACATTACTGTATGTCTCAATATTGACTTTACCCGGGCCCTGGATCGAAATCTGTCCATGTTTAATCTGTTTTTGTCTTGTATGTGTTTACTCACAGGTCTACGGTCAATGCAAGGCTGTTATCTACATGAACCGAGTCCACAGAGTGGTTCGTCTGTACAACTACAACTGTGTGGTCAGACCAGGTAAAGTCCAGTGCTTTGTCCTCTCCAAAGCAACAATAACAGCGTTTCCCACCAAACAGCACTTTGCATCCATCCACCGTGTAGTAGTTGGGTGATGTACGGTCCGCAGAAGCTTTTTTGTTTGTCATGTGGTTCCAATGACTCTGTGGGAGCATGGTGCTTGATACACCTGATTTTTGGGGTTTGATTCCCATATATGGACCACATATACTGAATATATGTTAAATATAAATTACTGTGTATAAAAGCCTCTGCTAATAACCACATTACACAGTACATTTCTGACCAATGAAAGCGGCGTTCTAAACAGTTTCCCTATTTTATGTATTTTCCCAGCGGCTGCGGCGACAGTGGCTAAGCGGTGTCCAGACTGTCCCTTTGCCGTGTCCATGGACAACCAGGAGGTCCTGAAGACAGCCACCCTGTCCATGGAGAAGTTCAACAAGGACAGCGGCTTGGCCAATCACTTCGCCATCCTCAACATCACCCGTGCACGGTCATCGGTCAGAACACAACACTACACTACCCAACACAACAACACACCCCAATGAGGAACACAACACAACACAACACTACACTACAACACATCCCAATATAGCATAATACAAAACCAACACCACAACACAACAAAAATTTCAACAAAACGATGAATCCCCTCACAGCAGCAAATGAACTGGTTTCATATTGTGGTGTAATTATATCTTGTTCTCATTGGTTCTGATCTCTGTTGCTCTGGTATTCCAGATGGGCATGGCCACCTTCTACTTTGCAGAGTTCACCATCCAGGAGACTACCTGTGCCAACACCACCGACCCTTCAGCAGCCTCCAAGTGTCCTCTGATGGACTGCGAGTTTGCAGTAAGTGAAATGACAGTACCATTGATATTTTAGTCAAACAGCATAAACTGTGTAGTAACAGCGTTATTAAACCTGAATTACAGCCTGAATAGTGTTTAACAGTGTAATAACTATGTAAGAACCAGTGTTATGATTTCTCCCTCTCTTTTTTCCACAGCACAAAGGACACTGCAAGGGCTCCCACTCTCATGGCATGGGCGGCGAGGAGTTTGTCCAGGTCAACTGTGAGGTCTTTGAGAATGAGGTCAGGCACTCTCCATTTGAAACAAGGGTTGAAACTTAGTTTCAGATGCATAGAGGAAAACTCCAGCAGCTGGAATTCTTGTATGCTCCACAGTGTGTTTAATGGATCAAACCACCATTTCAGTTATCAGATCTTCATTTCAGTTATCAGATCTTCATTTCAGTTATCAGATCTTCATTTCAGTTATCAGATCTCCCATTTCAGTTATCACGATCTCCATTTTCAGTTTATTCTAGATCTTCATTTTTTCAGTTATCAGATCTTCATTTCAGTTATCAGATCTTCATTTCAGTTATCAGATCTTCATTTCAGTTATCAGATCTTCATTTCAGTTATCAGATCTCCATTTCAGTTATCAGATCTCCATTTCAGTTATCAGATCTCCATTTCAGTTATCAGATCTTCATCTGGGTTTACATCCTTAAATGACTAATGATGTTTTAGTGATCGTGTGTATTGATTGAATGATGACGCTGTGACTGATCCCCTGGTCGGTCGTTGTATCCTGCAGAACTCAATGAATGAGAAGGCAGCTCACCTGTTGGGAGGAGAGACCGACCACAGCCACACCCACCAGGCTGGAGAACACGGCAGAGACCACACCCACAATGCCTCTGGCACTCACGACCACACCAAGGACCACAAACACGACGGCGCCCGCGTCCATGGTCATAAAGATGGCGCCCACTCTCACGAAAAGGGAGCTGCTGGCGGTCACGACAAGGGAGCTGCTGGCGGTCACGACAAGGGAGCTGCTGGCGGTCACGACCACGCTCACGCCCACTCTCATGACCTCGGTCACGCCCACTCTCATGACCAAGCCCACTCTCAAGACCACGTTCACGCCCACCACGCCAAGGCCCATAACCACAGCACTGACACCGGACCGCACCAACACCACATCTACAAGCACAACGGTGAGGGCCACACTCATGAACATGACCATGAGCTAGCCCTGGACCACGACCACAAGCACGCTCACCTGCACGAGCACGAACACCACCACCATCACCACGAGCACCCACACCAGACCGAGTCCCGCCACCAGCCCCAGGGAACTGTGACCGTCCTCCCCGCCTTGGGCCTGCCCATGACCCTGCCCTCCTTCCCCGACCAGCCTGTGGGTAAACAGGGCGCCACTCTGCCCGTGGTCCAAGACCCAAAGATCCCTGGGATGAGACAGCCCACCATCTTACCCTTCCCCACCACCGTGTCCGCTCAGTGCCCTGCTGCGGTCAAAGATGAGGACAAGTTTGTGAAGGAGCTCTTCGCTGAGGACCCCCTATTCAAAGCAGCTGCGTAACCAGTCCCTTGTCTCCATGGAGCTGAAACACAGAACTGATTATTCTCAATACCTACCAATGACCCACTCTTTACTGACACTGGCAAGAAGAATAAACAAGATCACAAAGCTAGTTATGATATTGTTCTTTGGAACTCACAGAGACAGGTTTCTGCATGTCAGGTATTTGGTTACATATGGTTGTTATACATCTAGCTACCTCTAAACCATTTTCACCTGTCTGTTTGTCCGTCTGTCTGCCCCTCTCTCTCTCTCTCTCTCTTTGTCTGTCTGTATGTCTGCCTCTGTCTGTCTGCCCCTCTCTCTCTCTCTCTCTCTCTTTGTCTGTCTGTATGTCTGCCTCTGTCTGTCTGCCCCTCTCTCTCTCTCTATCTCTTTGTCTGTCTGTCTGTCTGCCTCTGTCTGTCTGTCTGTGAGAATTATGTTTGAGACTGTGACTGTGTGTTCCTAAAAAAACAAAAGGATTGACAGCATTGTTTTGTACGTTTCTAATACTCTATCTATCTATGTCATGACGGAAGATAGTTGTTGAGGTGGGTGTTGTTCCTAGACTCACAAAATAAAAATAAAACATCACTAATGCATCAATAGACTCCTTTTCTTCTGCACCATACAAGATTAAAAGAAAAACAGCTTTACCTAACACTACAAAATCCACGTCCAGACGCAACAGTATTGAGGATAAACGTTTCTATAACCCTGACCTCTACATGAAACCCTGCACTCATAAAAACATAGTCACAGTGCCGAGGTACAGTATACTGAAGGACCCTATAATGGTGCTCCAATAATCAGAGCATAAAGTACGTATATAGTTCTGTCTATGTTGGCAGCAGAGCATCGCCTATCTCATTCAACAGATATACAGCAGGCTATACAATACCTGTAAAGGATAGTACTGTTTTTATTGCCTAGAATAAGGCAAAGCATACCCCTGGCTACAGGACCTAGAAGTGGGTTGGGGAGGTACAAGCGGGTGCAGGTAAAAAAAAAAAAAAAAAAAGGTTGTGAAACCCTGACCTCAAGATACACAGTACTGTTCTCACAATGCGAGGAAAACGTTGCGTCAGATGTGATTGTGAAAAATAAAACGTTATCTGGTCGAAGCTACTGCGTGTGTATCTGTATAGATAAGGCCCATTATCTTCACCATGGCACTACAGAGAATAGCAACAGGAGGATTGGAGACAGATCTAGAGCAATCACCATAACAACCACCCTGATTACATCACAGCTGTATCAATAGACCCAAAAGGGGAGATATGTCTGTGTGTGACAGCCGATGATGGTGGAGATATAAAGGTCCATTCAGGGTTTGAGAGTGTGTCGTTGAGGTGGGTTTGAGACAGTGTCGTTGAGGTGGGTTTGAGTGGTTTTGTTGAGGTGGGTTTGAGTGGTTTTGTTGAGGTGGGTTTGAGAGAGTGTTGTTGAGGTGGGATTGAGAGAGTGTTGTTGAGGTGGGTTTGAGTGGTTTTGTTGAGGTGGGTTTGAGAGAGTGTTGTTGAGGTGGAATTGAGAGAGTGTTGTTAAGGTGGGTTTGACAGAGTGTTGTTGAGGTGGGTTGAGGAGTGTGTTGAGTGGGTTTGAGAGAGAGTGAGTGAAGGTGGGTTTGAGTGGTTTTGTTGAGGTGGGTTTGAGAGTGTTGTTGAGGTGGGTTTGAGAGCGTTGTTGAGGTGGGTTTGGGTGGTTTTGTTGAGGTGGGTTTGAGTGGTTTTGTTGAGGTGGGTTTGAGTGGTTTTGTTGAGGTGGGTTTGGAGACGTGTTGTTGAGGTGGGTTTGAGCCAGTGTTGTTGCGGTGGGTTTGCGCGCGTGTTGTTGAGGTGGGTTTGGCGCGTGTTGTTGCGGTGGGTTTGAGGCGTGTTGTTGAGGTGGGTTTGAGGGCGGGGGGTTGGTTGTATGGTGGGTTTTGCGCGGTGTGTTGGGTGGTTTGAGCAGTGTTGTTGAGTGGGTTTGCGAGAGTGTCGTTTGGTGGGTTTGAGTGTTTGTTGAGGTGGGTTTGGAAGTGTTGTGAGGTGGGTTTGAGAGCGTTGTTGAGGTGGGTTTGGGTGGTTGTTGTTAGGTGGGTTTGACGTGGTTTTGTTGAGGTGGGTTTGAGACAGTGTCGTTGAGGTGGGTTTGAGAGAGTGTTGTTGAGGTGGGTTTGAGAGAGTGTTGTTGAGTTGGGTTTGGGAGTGTTGTTGAGGTGGGTTTGAGAGTGTGTTTGTTGAGGTGGGTTTGAGGGTTTGTTGAGGTGGGTTTGGAGTGTCTTTGTGCGGTGGGTTTGAGTGGTTTTGTTGGGTGGGTTTGAGAGGGTTTGTTGAGGTGGGTTTGAGCTGTTTGTTGAGTGGGTAGGAGGAGCGTGTTGTTAGGTGGTTTGCGCAGTGTTTGTGATGTTGGTTGAGAATGTCACTTGAGTGGGTTTTTGAGACAGTGTGTTGAGGTGGTTGGAACACTGTCCGTTGAGGTGGGTTTAGAAAGTTTCGTTGAGGTGGTTTGAGACAAGTGTCGTAGGTGGTTTGAGAGAGTGTTTTGAGGTGGTTTGAGACGAGTTTGTGTGCAGTTGGGTTTGATGGTTTTGTTCAGGTGGTTTGATGTTTGTTGAGGTTCGAGTTTTTAGTGGTTTTGGTGGGCGTTTGTTGCGGTGGGTTTGAGTGGTTTTGTTGAGGTGGGCTTGAGTGGTTTTGTTGAGGTGGGTTTGAGTGGTTTTGTTGAGGTGAGCATAGGAGTGATGAAGATAGTACATATGATGGATGTGCCCAATGCCAATCCACTTCATAAACCTTTGATATGGATAGGATCCAACCTTGCTATTCAGACAGCCTTACTGTACTGTTCAGGGAACACAAACCACTAACCTTCAGCCCTCATGGGCTTCCTCAGCCATTAAGCCTTTTCTGCATTTAACTACCAGTATACTAAAGTTAAATCACTGCATGGCATTGTTTGGCAATACAATGACAAGTTCACTATTTAAACAAAAAAAGCCTGTACCCAGGCTACATGTTTCCTTACTTCCAAACACTTTTTACATTCCATGCTGGAAAACAAACAAGTAACTGATATGCACTGTACACAAACAGATACAGCACACCCAGTGATCCTGAGCCATAAAGAGACAATGCAATACAATACAATTCTTGATTTATTGGTCAGTTTGCATGGATATTCTTTATTTTTTTGCTGTCATATCACCCAACCTGACACATACAGTTGAAGTCGGAAGTTTACATACACTTAGGTTGGAGTTATTAAAACTAGTTTTTCAACCAATACACAAATTACTTGTTAACAAACTATAGTTTTGGCAAGTCGGTTAGGACATCTACTTTTTCCAACAATTGTTTACAGACGGAATATTTCGCTTATAATTCACTGTATCACAATTCCAGTGGGTCAGAAGTTTACATACTGTGCCTATAAACAGCTTGGAAGATTCCAGAAAAATATGTAATGGCTTTAGAAGCTTCTGATAGGCTAATTTACATAATTTAAGTCAATTGGAGGTGTACCTGTGGATGTATTTCAAGGCCTACCTTCAAACTCAGTGCCTCTTTGCTTGACATCATGGGAAAATCAAAAGAAATCAGCCAAGACCTCAGAAAAAAATTGTAGACCTCCACAAGTCTGGTTCATCCTTGGGAGCAATTTCCAAACACCTGAAGGTACCACGTTTATCTGTACAAACAATAGTACGCAAGTACAAACACCATGGGACCACGCAGCCGTCATACCGCTCAGGAAGGAGACGCGTTCTGTCTCCTAGAGATGAACGTACTTTGGTACAAATCAATCCCAGAACAACAGCAAAGGACCTTGTGAAGATGCTGGAGGAAACAGGTACAAAAGTATCTACAGTGAGGGAAAAATGTATTTGATCCCCTGCTGATTTTGTACGTTTGCCCACTGACAAAGACATGATCGGTCTATAATTTTAATGGTAGGTTTATTTGAACAATGAGAGACAGAATAACAACAAAAACACCCAGGAAAAAGCATGTCAAAAATGTTATAAATTGATTTGCATTTTAATGAGGGAAATAAGTATTTGACCCCTCTGCAAAACATGACTTAGTACTTGGTGGCAAAACCCTTGTTGGCAATCACAGAGGTCAGACGTTTCTTGTAGTTGGCCACCAGGTTTGCACACATCTCAGGAGGGATTTTGTTCCACTCCTCTTTGCAGATCTTCTCCAAGTCATTAAGGTTTCGAGGCTGACGTTTGGCAACTCGAACCTTCAGCTCCCTCCACAGATTTTCTATGGGATTAAGGTCTGGAGACTGGCTAGGCCACTCCAGGACCTTAATGTGCTTCTTCTTGAGCCACTCCTTTGTTTCCTTGGCCGTGTGTTTTGGGTCATTGTCATGCTGGAATACCAATCCACAACCCATTTTCAATGCCCTGGCTGAGGGAAGGAGGTTCTCACCCAAGATTTGACGGTACATGGCCCCGTCCATCGTTCCTTTGATGCTGTGAAGTTGTCCTGTCCCCTTAGCAGAAAAACACCCCCAAAGCATAATGTTTCCACCTCCATGTTTGATGGTGGGAATGGCGTTCTTGGGGTCATAGGCAGCATTCCTCCTCCTCCAAACACGGCGAGTTGAGTTGATGCCAAAGAGCTCCATTTTGGTCTCATCTGACCACAACACTTTCACCCAGTTCTCCTCTGAATCATTCAGATGTTCATTGGCAAACTTCAGACGGGCATGTATATGTGCTTTCTTGAGCAGGTGGACCTTGCGGGCGCTGCAGGATTTCAGTCCTTCACGGCGTATTGTGTTACCAATTGTTTTCTTGGTGACTATGGTCCCAGCTGCCTTGAGATCATTGACAAGATCCTCCCGTGTAGTTCTGGGCTGATTCCTCACCGTTTTCATGATCATTGCAACTCCACGAGGTGAGATCTTGCATGGAGCCCCAGGCCGAGGGAGATTGACAGTTCTTTTGTGTTTCTTCCAATTGCGAATAATCGCACCAACTGTTGTCACCTTCTCACCAAGCTGCTTGGTGATGGTCTTGTAGCCCATTCCAGCCTTGTGTAGGTCTACAATCTTGACCCTGACATCCTTGGAGATCTCTTTCGTCTTGGCCATGGTGGAGAGTTTGGAATCTGATTGATTGATTGCTTCTGTGGACAGGTGTCTTTTATACAGGTAACAAGCTGAGATTAGGAGTATTCCCTTTAAGAGTGTGCTCCTAATCTCAGCTCGTTACCTGTATAAAAGACACCTGCGAGCCAGAAATCTTTCTGATTGAGAGGGGGTCAAATACTTATTTCCCTCATTAAAATGCAAATCAATTTATAACATTTTTGACATGCGTTTTTCTGGATTTTGTTGCTGTTATTCTCTCTCTCACTGTTCAAATAAACCTACCATTAAAATTATAGACTGATCATTTCTTTGTCAGAGGGCAAACGTACAAAATCAGCAGGGGATCAAATACTTTTTTCCCTCACTGTATATCCACACTAAAACAAGTCCTATATCGACATAACCTGAAAGGCCGCTCAGCAAGGAAGAAGCCACTGCTCCAAAACCGCCATAAAAAAGCCAGATTACGGTTTGCAACTGCACATGGGGACAAAGATCGTACTTTTTGGAGAAATGTCCTCTGGTCTGATGAAACAAAAATAGAACTGTTTGGCCATAATGACCATCGTTATGTTTTGAGGAAAAAGGGGATTACTTGCAAGCAGAAGAACACCATCCCAACCGTGAAGCACGGGGTGGCAGCATCATGCTGTGGGGGTGCTTTGCTGCATGAGGGACTGGTGCACTTCACAAAATAGATGACATCATGAGGAAGGAAAATTATGTGGATATATTGAAGCAACATCTCAAGACATCAGTCAGGAAGTTAAAGCTTGGTCGCAAATGGGTCTTCGAAATGGACAATGACCCCAAGCATACTTCCAAAGTTGTGCCAAAATGGCTTAAGGACAACAAAGTCAAGGTATTGGAGTGGCCATCACAAAGCCCTTACCTCAATCCTATAGAAAATTAGTGGGCAGAAATGAAAAAGTGTGTGCGAGCAAGGAGGCCTACAAACCTGACTCAGTTACACCAGCTCTGTCAGGAGGAATGGGCCAAAATTCACCCAACTTATTGTGGGAAGCTTGTGGAAGGCTACCCGAAACGTTTGACCCAAGTTAAACAATTTAAAGGCAATGCTACCAAATACTAATTAAGTGTATGTAAACTTCTGACCCACTGGGAATGTAATGAAATAAATAAAAACTGAAATAAATCATTCTCTCTACTATTATCCTGAAATTTCACATTTTTAAAATAAAGTGGTGATCCTAACTGACCTAAAACAGGGATTTTTTACTAGGATTAAATGTCAGGAATTGTGAAAAACTGAGTTTAAATGTATTTGGCTAAAGTGTATGTAAACCTCCGACTTCAACTGTAACAGGCTGTGGCTGAGCATGGGGCTGTGGCAGAGCATGGGGCTGTGGCTGAGCAGGGGCTGTGGCAGAGCATGGGGCTGTGGCTGAGCATTGGGCTGTGGCAGAGCATGGGGCTGTGGCTGAGCAGGGGCTGTGGCAGAGCATGGGGCTGTGGCTGAGCAGGGGCTGTGGCTGAGCATGGGGCTGTGGCAGAGCATGGGGCTGTGGCAGAGCATGGGGCTGTGGCAGAGCATGGGGCTGTGGCAGAGCATGGGGCTGTGGCAGAGCAGGGGCTGTGGCAGAGCATGGGGCTGTGGCTGAGCAGGGGCTGTGGCTGAGCATGGTGCTGTGACTGAGCATGGTGCTGTGGCAGAGCATGGGACTGTGGAGCACTTAGGTTCCTTTGCTTAAGGTCACAATGGCGGTAGGTAGTATTCCTGCAGATTTCCCAACAGGCAGCTCGAGGCTACCGCCGCCCCCTTTGAGTGAGGTCAAATATTTGTCTATTTCCACACCGAGCCCACCCCTCACTCAATGTTTAAATGTACAAAAAGTCATTGGTCAACAGCAGATAAATCTGTATTTACATGTCCTCTGGGGAAGAGGGTAAAGTTGACTAGCTGACTACCAGTAGGGGCCTTTGACTACCTCTCCACCTACCCCTCTCAGTCTGCATACAGTACACCCCCAGGACACAGCCCAGGGTTCTTTAGCCTCGTTTCTTCATTAGCATTAGCGACCAGGCTAACACGGGGTTGCTGTGTACAGTAAAGGATGTGGTTCTGTGTGTGGCTGATAGCCCTGTGTATGTGTTGGCATGGGGGCAGCCCCTCCCCGGTGACCCCTGCGGTGGGGTGCCAGGGCCCAGAGGTCCTGAGGGCGGCGGAGGAAGGCCTGGACAAGATCAATGCTGACCTCACCGAAGGATTCATCCTCAGCCTCAACAGAGTCTATGATGTCAGCCAGCAGACAGTGGTGAGGCTGGTCAACTAGCTACTGTTCTGAACTGTACTACTCTTCCTGTTTAATAAAAGGTTGATGGTGTTTTTCTAGTTATTTGTGTTCTTCACTGATTGAGTGTAATGGAACAATGCAAGAGTTTTTTATTTTCCTGTCTTTTGGGCGCAAACTTTACAGAAAAGATAGAGGTGAGTAAAAAGTACTGTTTATAGTTGTATAATTTCTGTTTTTAAGAAGCACGGCAGCCTGCACAGTTCTCTATCAGTAATTGATACTGTTCTGTAAAATTCCCTCTAGTGTCCAAAAGAGGTAAGTTCTAAAGTGTTGAGAAATCGTCTACTAACTGCCCAAAGTAAATACATGTATATTGGTCAATTATGAGAGCATTTGACAAATGAGATTATTTGAACTGTCAAATTACTATTGCATGAATTTTTGGCTTTTCACCCCTTTAGTGGAGTAACTGCCTCCCCTACCTCCACCTCTCTCCCCAGGAAGGAGCAGGGGTGCTGTTCAACCTGACCATAGACGTGCTGGAGACAAAGTGTCACGTGATCAGCAAGAAGCCATGGAAGAAATGTGAAGTGAAGGATGTAGCTGATGTACCAGTAAGCAGTATACCATATAGGGATGTATGGGCTTATATGGTGTGGGGAGTTAGACTTATAGGGTGTGGGGAGTTAGGCTTATAGGGTGTGGGGAGTTAGGTTTATAGGTGTGTTGTGGTTTGGTTATAGGTGTGGGGCAGTTTGCTTATATGGTGTGGAGTTGGATTGGTGTGGGGAGTTAGCTTATATGGTGTGGGGAGTTAGGTTATAGGTGTGGGGAGTTAGGCTTATATGGTGTGGGAGTTGGTTTATGGGTGGGGAGTTAGGCTATTGGTGTGGGGAGTTAGGCTTATAGGGTGTGGGGAGTTAGGTTTATATGGTGTGGGGAGTTAGGCTTATAGGGGTGGGGAGTTAGGCTTATAGGGTGTGGGGAGTTAGGTTTATATGGTGTGGGGAGTTAGGCTTATAGGGTGTGGGGAGTTAGGTTTATATGGTGTGGGGAGTTAGGTTTATATGGTGTGGGGAGTTAGGTTTATATGGTGTGGGGAGTTAGGCTTATAGGGTGTGGGGAGTTAGGTTTATATGGTGTGGGGAGTTAGGCTTATAGGGTGTGGGGAGTTAGTTAGGGTGGGGAGTTAGCTTATAGGGTGTGGGGAGTTAGGCTTATAGGGTGTGGGGAGTTGTATGGTTCTTTATATGGTGTGGGAGTTAGGCTTATAGGGTGTGGGGAGTTAGGCTTATAGGGTGTGGGGAGTTAGGCTTTAGGGTGTGGGGATAGCTTTGGGATGCTTATAGGGTGTGGGGAGTTAGGCTTATAGGGTGTGGGGAGTTAGGCTTATAGGGTGTGGGGAGTTAGGCTTATAGGGTGTGGGGAGTTAGGCTTATAGGGTGTGGGGAGTTAGACTTATAGGGTGTGGGGAGTTAGGCTTATAGGGTGTGGGGAGTTAGGCTTATAGGGTGTGGGGAGTTAGGCTTATAGGGTGTGGGGAGTTAGGCTTGTAGGGTGTGGGGAGTTAGACTTATAGGGTGTGGGGAGTTAGGTTTATATGGTGTGGGGAGTTAGGCTTATAGGGTGTGGGGAGTTAGGCTTATAGGGTGTGGGAGTGTAGGGGGGGGCTTTAGGGTGTGGGGAGTTAGAGCTTATAGGGTGTGGGGAGTTAGGCTTATAGGGTGTGGGGAGTTAGGTTTATAGGGTGTGGGGAGTTAGGTTATAGGGGGGGGTTGTCTTATAGGGTTGTGGGGAGTTAGGTTTATAGGTGTGTGGGGAGTTAGGTTTATAGGGTGTGGGGAGTTAGGCTTATAGGGTGTGGGGAGTTAGGCTTATAGGGTGTGGGGAGTTAGGTTTATAGGGTGTGGGGAGTTAGGCTTATAGGGTGTGGGGAGTTAGGTTTATAGGGTGTGGGGAGTTAGGCTTATAGGGTGTGGGGAGTTAGGCTTATAGGGTGTGGGGAGTTAGACTGAATGCCAGTCTGTTTCTCCTCTCTTGCCAACTCCTCATAGAATTGTCATGCCAAACTTGACAATGACAATGGAGTAGGCAAAAACAGATCTGGGATCAGCCTAGTGGAGAGTGGGATATGTGAATGAAACTCTCTTACCACTCCACAGGTGTATGGGCAGTGTATGGCGTCTATCTCTGTTGGGAAGGGTGTGGAACTCCGCAGCTATAAATGTACCATCCAACAAGGTAGAGTCTGTTTACATAGGGCTCACTAGGGCTCAGTTTTTCCTGGTCAGGTCATGAGGTCAGGAACAATATACAGTAGCTACTGTAACCACAAAACCCTTTCAGTTCAATGACTTACTGGTGCATTGTTGCTTTGAGTTGACTAACCTGTAGTGAACTGTAACCCCTGACCCCTGACCTTTGACCTTGTGCCCAGTGCCTGCCACGGTCATTGTCGACACGTGTCCAGACTGTCCAACAGCAGAGCACCTGGATGACCCCATCATAGCGGAGACGGCCAATCTGATCCTCCAGAAATACAACAGAATGAATCGCCTGCCAAACTACTTCACCCTCCTCAACGTAACAGGAGCTAGCATGCAGGTCTGTGAGATCGTTCTGTGTTGTAGGCCTACGTCAGATATGAAATGTTTTGCTATTTAAATAAAAACAGCACTTTGCTATTGGAGAGGAGTAGAAGACAATCCACCGACATGAGACGGTGAAACCAAAAATCTGAAGAGCATTTGAAAGGAATATATGTGACTCTCGCTCATAATTAAAATCGTGATGTTGTGTAAACTACACTGCACAAAAATATAAACGCAACATGCAACAATTTCTAAGATTTTACTCATTTACAGTTCATATTTGGAAGTTAGTCAATTGAAATAAATATTTTAGGCCCTAATCTATGGATTTCACATGACTGGGAATACAGATATGCATCTGATGGTCACAGACACCTTAAAAAAAGGTAGGGGTGTGGATCAGAAAACCATTCAGTATCTGGTGTGACCACCATTTGCCTCAAGAAGCGCGACACATCTCCTTCGCATAGAGTTGATCAGGCTGTTGATTGTGGCCTGTGGAATGTTGTCCCACTCCTCTTCAATGGCTGTGCGAAGTTGCTGGATATTGGCGGGAACTAAAACACGCTGTCGTACACGTCGATCCAGAGCATCCCAAACATGCTCAATGGGTGACATGTCTGGTGACTTTGCAGGTCATGGAACTTCCAGGAATTGTGTACAGATCCTTGCGACATGAGGCCGTGCATTATCATGCTGAAACATGCGGTGATGTGGCGGATGAATTGCACGACAATGGGCCTCGATGGCATTCAAATTGCCATCGATAAAATGCAATTGTGTTCGTTGTCCGTAGTTTATGCCTGCCCATATCATAACCTCACTGCCACCATGGGGCACTCTTTTCACAATGTTGACACTAGCAAACCGCTCGCCCACATGACGCCATCTGCCCGGGATAGTTGAAACCGGGATTCCTCGATGAAGAGCACACTTCTCCAGCGTGCCTGTGGCCACTGAAGTCGGTTACGATGCCGTACTGCAGTATGGTCAAGACCTTGGTGAGGACGATGAGCACGTAGATGAGCTTCCCTGAGATGGTTTCTGACAGTTTGTGCAAAAATTAGCTTTCCGGTGGCTGGTCTCAGACGATCCCGCAGGTGAAGAAGCCGGATGTTGAGATCCTGGGCTGGTGTGGTTACATGTGGTCTGTGGTTGTGAGGCCGGTTGGACGTACTGCCAAATTCTCTAAAACGCCATTGGAGGCGGCTTATGGTAGAGAAATGAGCATTCAGTTCTCTGGCAACAGCTCTGGTGGACATTCCTGCAGTCAACATGCCAATTGCACGCTCCCTCAAAATTTGAGACATCTGTGGCATTGTGTTCTGTGACAAAACTGCACATTTTAGAGTGGCCTTTTATTGTCCCCAGCACAAGGTGCACCTGTGTAATGATCATGCTGTTTAATAAGCTTCTTGATATGCCACACCTGTCAGGTAGATGGATTATCTTGGCAAAAGAGAAATGCTCACTAACAGGGATGTAAAGAAATGTGTGCACAACATTTGAGAGAAATAAGCTTTTTGTGCGTATGGAAAATTTCTGGGATCTTTTATTTCAGCTTATGAAACATGGGACCAACACTTTATATGTTGCGTTTATATTTTACATTCACAGCAATTCTCATCTACAGACTCTATCCGCTACTTTAAATTAACCATAAGGCTGCAAACACCCTGCGTTACCATTACAAGAATGTCTATATGACTAATTCCACATATCTACAGATCGACAACATCGAACAAGCTACAAACACATCGCTAACACTCCACCATACATAATCAACTACACTACACACATTACACACATCTACATACACTACACACATCTACATACATCTACACTACATTTACATATCACTACAGCCTCTACACAGAGCGACTACAGTAGTGAATGACACTACATGAGTATTCTGACTAACTGAGAGCCCCCTGTCGCAAGAACTCGGACCGACCCCGAGATGCTCACACACACAAACATACTCTATCAACTGACGCTACAGACGCCAGGCCATTACACCTTCCGCCGACAGGACAACGTGCCAATTATGCAGCACACCCAGCAGTCTACTACATCGTAAGACATGCTACACAGACATCTGACACTGCACACACACGCACACATACACACAGCATCCCTACATCTGAGACATCTACATCTACAAATCAGCACATCTACATAGCATCATCACTCCAATGCTTGAGACTAGCGAAGCACGGCTATGACACGACAGGACACGGACACGCCATCAAAGCAACAGAACAGCATGGACGACCTTAGGAACATGGCGACAGCACTAGGATTATTGAGAACACGTACACCACATCTACACAGGCTACACTACATCACACACATCGACACTACAGCGACACGCACACTAGCAGGACACTGCACAACACACGACAGTCGACACTACAGCGACTTACACACGACACACACATCACACACAGCGTACACTACTCTACACATCTACACGCATCTGACAACGACACACACACTACACAACACAGACTACAACACCACAGTCGAACACGAGACACACAGCGACACACAGCGACACACACACACACCAGCTGACACTGAAGCGCCGACACGACACACAGCGACACACACACACACATCACACACACACACACACAACACACGCTACACACATCTACACGACAGCTACACACAGCGACACACATCACACACTAACTAAAAGAAACAAAAAAAAACATGCAACACACATCTGACAACTCGACACGACGCACACACACACACACAGTCGACAACAACACTACCGCTACTACAGCTAACACACACTCACACTACATCTAACACACATCTACACACATCTACACACATCTACACTACATCTAACACACACTACACACACAATTACACACATACACTACATCACACACAGCTGACACACATCGACACAGAGACACGACATCGTACACACACGACACCACCGAGCGAAAAAACCAACACACAACACACACATCACAATATCACTAGCACCAAACTACACTGAATCTACACACATCACACAGTACCTACGACCAGCAATAGACACACATCTACGCACTAGCGATACACACAGCACACACAAAAAAGACACGACTAGCACACAACAGCCACATAGCGACACACATAAAACAGCAATCTAACCACACATCTACACTACAGCTGACACACAGCGACACACACCTCACACAGACAGTCTCACTACAGTACACTACACGTACACACACACACACACACAGCACAGCACACACACACAACATCAACTACACAACATACACTACCACACACACAACACATCTACACGAACCAGCTACACACAGCTACACTGACAGCACACACATCTACGACACTACAAGCATCACACACTACAATTACAGCACATCAACACACACAGCACACACACACACACTACACGACATCAGGCACACAACTACACACATGCTACACACACAAACACACACACACAACACAGCACAACACACACGACACAACACTACACACATCTACACACATCACCACAATCAACACACACACGACACACACTACACACACACACACACACGTACAACGACACGCCACACAGCACCACACACAACGATCACACACTACACAACACTACATCACTACACTAGCATCACACACACACACACACACACTACACTAGCTACAGACATCACACTACAGCGACACTCACACACAACTACTACACACATCAACACTACATCTACACACATCTGACACACATCACACACACACACACGCCATCTACACACACTCAAACACACCTACATCTACACACATCTACAACATCATATACATCACACACACACGCACATCACACTACATCTACACACATCACACTACATCTACACACATCTAACGACAACTACACTACACGACACACAGCAAACAGCACACACATCTACACTACATCTACACACACTACACACAGCTCCACTACATCTACATGCACTACACTACATCGACACTACATCGACACACACACACTGACACGGCACACTATACACATCCACACATCACACTACACTACACAACACTACACGACACACACACATCACACACATCTACACTACATCTACACAACATCAACACTACATCTGCACTACATCTACATCTACACTACATCTACACACATCTACACTACATCTACACACATCTACACACATAAAAAAAAAAAAAAAAAAAACATCAACACTACATCTACACTACATCGACACACATCTACACACATCCTCACTACATCTACACTACATCTACACACATCTACACACATCTACACACATCTACACTACATCTGCACTACATCTACACACATATACACTACATCTACACACATCTACACTACATCTACACTACATCTATACACATCTACACTACATCTACACACATCTACACACATCTACACACTATCACATGTTTTAAAATAGGGAAAAATTAGTAATCATCTGGTCATAATTATGATTTGTATGTGGCAAGCTGACAGTGGAGGAAAGTAGCCTCACATCAGTCTCAGTGTTGTCACTAGCATCATATCGTGTTACTCTATTTGAACAATCCTATTCCGTGTTCTGTCCCCTAGCACAAGGGCTTTTGCACAGGCTCTCACACCACTCTGGATGATGGCACGTTTCAGACCAAACTCTCCATCGAGGTCAAGTGTGAAATCTTTGAACCAGAGGTAGGAATCTTCCACAACAGTGCCATCACTACCACGCAACGATGAAACCTCAGTAACTGAGAGGCCATCACTACCACGCAACGATGAAACCTCAGTAACTGAGAGGCCAGCATAGCAGTCATAGAAACATCAGTAACTGAGCAGAGGAGACCTCCGCAATGCAGGCTTTTTTTCCAATCCAGATCTGACTAAATTGTGGTCTATATTCAAGACCAAGACTAGGTCTAGGCCTGGGGGAAAGGGGTTGATCTGGGAGTGGGCATAAGGATTGTACCATTTCATAAGCATTTTACAAATAAAGTTATCATTATTATGTCCATCTCTCAGGCTGCCAAGGCAGAGGAGGAGGCCCATGCCAGAGGAGACAGTGGGCACAGTGGGCATCAGAGTGAAGATGAGGACCATAAACACATGCACACACACCTGCACCCCCATGAGCACCACCACCACCACCCCCCCAGCTCCAGTCAGACTTCCCCCAGACTGAAGGGCTCGCTGGGGGTAGTGGTGGTTCTACCTCCCCCTCATGTGCCACCACCTCCACGAGCCTCACCAGTAGCAAGCAACTGTCCAGGCAAGAGGAAAACTAACCTGGGACTGGACAGGTTTCAAATCTGATTGATAAACATCTTCCGTTACTGCAATAACAGCTTATTAACACTTTTCTGACATACAAAGCTACTTTGGTATTAAGGGAAAACTGCACGCACTATGACTCCCAATACTTCCCCTCTTTTGCCCTGGCTGGATAATGTTCACTTTTTTTTTGCTACCTTAGATCACATATGAAAAGTATTCCACAACATTGTACTGTATAATAACTATGATAGCTAGTAAATTTATCAGAGCAATACATGTATAGTGTAACCTACAATGGATATATCTTCATTGGTCATAATAATGTATTGTGCGATTGTAGCCAATTCAATATACCATTAAAAATGTTTTCATCTGATGTGAAGAGCAACTATGTGTGTTTCATAAGCATGACATCAAATAAATTACTCTCAAAATATTTCATAATCTGCCAGTGTAGTTGTACAGTGGATGGGATGTTGTGGCGCAGGTAGCTATGCATCAACATTTACCAATACGCTATGAAAGTCCTGCCTACTTCCTGGTTGAAGTTCCGTACTGTTTTTAAATGGGCTTCAAGCTTAAATCATCAAATTCCTATATTCATATTTTCTGATTAATTTAATTCAACCTGATGCCTTTCATGAAAGTTTTCGATTGTGTTTTTTTTTTTTTGTAATGAAAAACCTTCATAAAAGGCTTTGGGTAAAGGTTAATTCATCCACAAATATCATTTTACATATATCTTTAAATGACCCCATTTTCATGAATTTGATTATATAAGCTTGATGCCCATTAAAAACAATATGGGACTTCATAACCAAGTGGGAAGGTGGTATTTACCACATACGACTGGGAACATTTCACTTGAACACCTCTCCAACTCGTAATGCCAGCAACAAACGCTGACACTACACATCCAAGTATATCTGACCAAATGATGAAAGATCAAAATTGAATTCCGTAAAGTGAGTGTGGAAGAGGTCAAATTGTTGTTGTTGTCTATCAACAATGACAAGCCACCGGGGTCTGACAACTTGGATGGAAAATTACTGAGGATAATAGCGGACGATATTGCCACTCCTATTTGCCACATCTTCAATTTAAGCCTACTAGAAAGTGTGTGCCCTCAGGCCTGGAGGGAAGCAAAAGTCATTCCGCTACCTAAGAATAGTAAAGCCCCCTTTACTGGCTCAAATAGCCAACCAATCAGCCTGTTACCAACCCTTAGTAAAGTTGTGGAAGAAATTGTGTTTGACCAGATAAAATGCTATTTTACAGTAAACAAAATGACAACAGACTTTCAGCACGCTTATAGGGAAGGACATTCAACAAGCATTGCACTTACTCAAATGACTGATGATTGGCTGAGAGAAATTGATGATAAAAAGATTGTGGGGGCTGTTTTGTTAGACTTCAGTGCGCCGTTTGACATTATCGATCATAGTGTGCTGCTGGAAAAACGTATGTGTTATGGCTTTACAACCCCTGCTATATTATGGATAAAGAGTTACCTGTCTACCTGTCTAACAGAACACAGAGGGTGTTCTTTAATGGAAGCCTCTCCAACATAATCCAGGTAGAATCAGGAATTCCCCAAGATAGCCTTACCTTTTTTCAATCTTTACTACCGACATGCTACTGGCTTTGAGTAAAGCCAGTGTGTCTATATACAGTGGGGAGAATAAGTATTTGATACACTGCCGATTTTGCAGGTTTTCCTACTTACAAAGCATGTAGAGGTCTGTCATTTTTATCATAGGTACACATCATATGTGAGAGACCGAATCTAAAACAAAAATCCAGAAAATCACATTTTATGATTTTTAAGTAATTAATTTGCATTTTATTGCATGACAAAAGTATTTGATCACCTACCAACCAGTAAGAATTCCGTCTCTCACAGACCTGTTAGTTTTTCTGTAAGATGCCCTCCTGTTCTCCACTCATTACCTGTATTAACTGCACCTGTTTGAACTCTTTACCTGTATAAAAGACACCTGTCTACACACTCAATCAAACAGACTCCAACCTCTCCACAATGGCCAAGACCAGAGAGCTGTGTAAGGACATCAGGGATAAAATTGTAGACCTGCACAAGGCTGGGATGGGCTACAGGACAATAGGCAAGCAGCTTGGTGAGAAGGCAACAACTGTTGGCACAATTATTAGAAAATGGAAGAAGTTCAAGATGACGGTCAATCACCCCTCGGTCTGGGGCTCCATGCAAGATCTCACCTCGTGGGGCATCAATGATCATGAGGAAGGTGAGGGATCAGCCCAGAACTACACGGCAGGACCTGGTCAATGACCTGAAGAGAGCTGGGACCACAGTCTCAAAGAAACCATTAGTAACACACTACGCCGTCATGGATTAAAATCCTGCAGCGCACGCAAGGTCCCCCTGCTCAAGCCAGCGCATGTCCAGGCCCGTCTGAAGTTTGCCAATGACCATCTGGATGATCCAGAGGAGGAATGGGAGAAGGTCATGTGGTCTGATGAGAGAAAAATAGAGCTTTTTGGTCTAAACTCCACTCGCCATGTTTGGAGGAAGAAGAAGGATGAGTACAACCCCAAGAACACCATCCCAACCGTGAAGCGTGGAGGTGGAAACATCATTCTTTGGGGATGCTTTTCTGCAAAGGGGACAGGACGACTGCACCGTATTGAGGGGAGGATGGATGGGGCCATGTATCGCGAGATCTTGGCCAACAACCTCCTTCTCTCAGTAAGAGCATTGAAGATGGGTCGTGGCTGGGTCTTCCAGCATGACAACGACCCGAAACACACAGCCAGGGCAACTAAGGAGTGGCTCCGTAAGAAGCCTCTCAAGGTCCTGGAGTGGCCTAGCCAGTCTCCAGACCTGAACCCAATAGAAAACCTTTGAAGGGAGCTGAAAGTCCATATTGCCGAGCGACAGCCCCGAAACCTGAAGGATCTGGAGAAGGTCTGTATGGAGGAGTGGGCCAAAATCCCTGCTGCAGTGTATGCAAACCTGGTCAAGACCTACAGGAAACGTATGATCTCTGTAATTGCAAACAAAGGTTTCTGTACCAAATATTAAGTTCTGCTTTTCTGATGTATCAAATACTTATGTCATGCAATAAAATGAAAATTAATTACTTAAAAATCATACAATGTGATTTTCTGGATTTTTTGTTTTAGATTCCGTCTCTCACAGTTGAAGTGTTCCTATGATAAAAATTACAGACCTCTACATGCTTTGTAAGTAGGAAAACCTGCAAAATTGGCAGTGTATCAAATACTTGTTCTCCCCACTGTATGCGTATAACTCAACACTATACACGTCAGCTACTACAGTAACTGAAATGACTGCAACACTTAACAAAGAGCTGCAGTTAGTTTCAGAATGGGTGGCAAGGAATAAATTAGTCCTAAATATTTCAAAAACTAAAAGCATTGTATTTGGGACAAATCATTCACTAAACCCTATACCTCAACTAAATCTTGCAATAAATAATGTGGAAATTGAGCAAGTTTAGGTGACTAAACTGCTTGGAGTAACCCTGGATTGTAAACTGTCACGGTCAAAACATATTGATACAACAGTAGCTAAAATGGGGAGAAGTATGTCCATAATAAAGCGTTGCTCTGCCTTATTAACAACAATATCAACAAGGCAGGTCCTACAGGCTCTAGTTTTGTCACACCTAGACTACTGTTCAGTCGTGTGGTCAGGTGCCACAAAGAGGGACTTAGGAAAATTGTAATTGGCTCAGAATGTACACAGAGAGCAAACATTCATAATATGCATGTCAATCTCAAAGTAGAGGAGAGATTGACTTCATCACTACTTGTATTTGTGAGCGGTATTAACATGTTGAAAGCACCGAGCTGTCTGTTTAAATGACTAGCACACAGCTCAGACACCCATGCATACCCCACAAGACATGCCACCAGAGGTCTCTTCACAGTCCCCAAGTCCAGAACAGACAATGGGAGGCGCACAGTACGACATAGAGCAATGACTCCATGGAACTCTATTCCACATCAGGTAACTGATGCAAGCAGTAGAATCAGATTTTAAAAAACAGCTTACGGAACAGCGGGGACTGTGAAGCAACACAAACATAGGCACAGACACATGCATACACACACACACATGATAACATATGCACTATACACACACGTACACATGGATATTGTGTTGTAGATATGTGGTAGTGGAGTATGGGCCTGAGGGCACACACTTAGTGTGTTGTGAATTCTGTAATGAATGTATTGTAATGAAGAGTAGCTGCTGCCTTGGCAAATACAGTATGAAAGTCCTGGCTAGTTCCTGGTTCCTGTACCGTATAGTTTTTGAATGGGCTTCAAGCTTATATAATCAAATTCATGAAAATGCAGTCATATAAGATATATATAAAAATTATATTAGTGTATCGATTTTGCTCATACCCGATGCCTTTTATCAAAATAATTGACGCGCAAGAAGTAAGACGCATTGGTGAAAGTTAGAAAAGTTTTGAACTCCTGGAGCCTTGTTAGCATGCACGAGGGTGCCTGCTCGAGTTGAGGACTCACAGGACAGTAAAAACCTGCTAGTTACAGTCCGTTTGATGTTTCAAGTTTTATTAGTCGTACGGGATATGCCTTGTATACAGTGAGGGAAAAAAGTATTTGATCCCCTGCTGATTTTGTACGTTTGCCCACTGACAAATAAATGACCAGCTACAGGACCATCGCCAAGCAGCTTGGTGAGAAGGTGACAACAGTTGGTGCGATTTTTCACAAATGGAAGAAACACAAAATAACTGTCAATCTCCCTCGGCCTGGGGCTCCATGCAAGATCTCACCTCGTGGAGTTGCAATGATCATGAGAACGGTGAGGAATCAGCCCAGAACTACACGGGAGGATCTTGTCAATGATCTCAAGGCAGCTGGGACCATAGTCACCAAGAAAACAATTGGTAACACACTACGCCGTGAAGGACTGAAATCCTGCAGCGCCCGCAAGGTCCCCCTGCTCAAGAAAGCACATATACATGCCCGTCTGAAGTTTGCCAATGAACATCTGAATGATTCAGAGGAGAACTGGGTGAAAGTGTTGTGGTCAGATGAGACCAAAATGGAGCTCTTTGGCATCAACTCAACTCGCCGTGTTTGGAGAAGGAGGAATGCTGCCTATGACCCCAAGAACGCCATCCCCACCGTCAAACATGGAGGTGGAAACATTATGCTTTGGGGGTGTTTTTCTGCTAAGGGGACAGGACAACTTCACTGCATCAAAGGGACGATGGACGGGGCCATGTACCGTCAAATCTTGGGTGAGAACCTCCTTCCCTCAGCCAGGGCATTGAAAATGGGTTGTGGATGGGTATTCCAGCATGACAATGACCCAAAACACACGGCCAAGGCAACAAAGGAGTGGCTCAAGAAGAAGCACATTAAGGTCCTGGAGT